GCACCTGCCTGTGGCTATATTAAACTCTGTATGTCACGCATTCTGGCGCTTGAAGAAATGTGTATAATGAGTAGACATAAGCACCAGTGAGGTTAATTATTGTAAAGGTCGGCAGCACTATTAGTGGCAGTGAGGCTGGTTTGCTGATTTTTTTCTGGATTTCTGAGTATTGGACCAAGAACCTTAGGCCAAAACATGAAAATCAACTCTAGGAAAGTTATTGCACAATGTGTTCCATGTGATAGTGATACTAGCTTTGCAGAAATATTAACTGAGGTTAATGATGGATGATTTTCTTGTTGATTCAGATAGAGGAAGTGTTGGTTTAGGTGTTTTCATAAGGATAGAGAGAAGGGAGTAAGGAAAAGGCCACATCTACAACAACAAATATTGAAAAATAAGTCAGAAGAGACCAGATTCAGGGTCTTATCAGGGATGAATCAGTTCTGTGGCACAAGCTCTGATACAAGTTACCATGTGCATATTTCAATCGTAATGCCTCATCAATGTATTTAGGTGACACAAATAGACATGACGAATACTAATTCATTATTAATATGATTCAAACATAAGAAATATGAGAACTAAATGGTACATAGAAATAGAAGAAACCGGCATTTATTTTTTAAAAGAATCTTTGGTCTGAATCTTCAATTCAACTTCAGTTCCATCATTTTGAGGGGACAAAAAATCTATTTAGAGCTAAAATGAACATTTTAACAAACTTTTCTCTTTCTTTCTTCTTTTTCTCTTTTAATTATCACATCAAGCTGTTAAATAAAATTCTTTTCACTAAATTATGAGCTGAAAGTCACAACTATTAGATGCAGATTGTTTGTGCAAAGCTGCAGCAATACAAACCTTTTGCACATTTTTGAGAATTCCTGTGAAAGTTTTGGGAACGTAAACTCTTCCTCTTGCAGGCTGCGGTGTTTTGGCTGTACACAGAAGACGCACGGAGAATAGATGGGGTTCAGGAAGAAGTGAAGGAGGAGTGACTATCCTTGTGTGGTTAATTAAAGCTGAGCGATGTGCCCTTCTCCACCCCACGCTGTCTCTTTCTGCTTCAGCCTGAAGAAAAGGCTAGATAGCTTTGTCTCTTTCATTAACTTATATGAGGTAATAGCTCTGGCAAAATGCACTCAGCATATTTGTCAAAGAAAAACATCTTATTGCATTCAAAAATGAGATTCTTTTTTAGGAGAGAGAGAGAGAGAGAGAGAGAGAGAGAGAGAGAGAGAGAGAGAGAGAGAGAGAGAGAGAGAGAAGTGATGATTTTTGGAACTAAAAACCATCAGTTTCTGATTTTTTTTCTCACACCATCAATCAGTGCTTGATGCATATCAGAGGTTTGCGCAACCAGAAGAATTTTCCTCTCGCTCTCGCTCTCGCTCATTTGATATTTAGGTAACTCTCTGTAAAAGGGAATACACAGGAGTGGGAGGAGATGCACGGCGGGGAGTGTTTCAGTGTGTCAGTACTGATTAAAGCGGCTCAGAAATGTTAAGAAATAGAACCTGGTTGAATTTATCAGTTTTAAAACAGGATATTTATGCAGTCTGATGTCAAGAAATCCACCTCAACAAATGTTTTCAAATTCCTTGTTATGTAAGACATTTTGTATGTAAGAGCAGACCTCTTCTTTGTTCTGTTTTGAACTTTATGTAGCTCCTATGTGTTTGGTGCCTCATCAATGCATTTAGATGACACAAACAGATATGACAAGTACTAATGATGAAGACTATCCCAAGAAAACTCTGGTTTTGTCATTTGATACCTGCTTTAATATGAAAGCAGAGATAAAGTAAGCTAATTGATAAACTGATCCATAACTGAATTTCAGAAAATAGCTCCAGTATGCATCTAAAAAAAAAACAAAAAAAAAAAACTATTTCTCTCTGGCTGTCAGTCCGTTATCGCCCTCAAGTGGATGTGTCAAAATGCTCCAACACTGCCACCCTGACAGCTGTTCAGGGGCAGCATTTACAGCATGTTGTCAATGAACTTGACTATATTTTTTATCACATATCACGACTTCCTTGCATTGAGACTTCATGTAAAAAAACCAACACAAACTTGTTCATAACTGTAAAGTGGAAGATTTTAAAAAAGTCTTTGTTTGTTTTTTTCAGTCTTGACCTGAATGCCGTTGTTCCGTGAAGGCCATGTAGGTTTCCTTGAAGGACATTTGTAAACAAATCATAAATAAATCAGATAAATGTATGAATCAGTTCAAAAGCAAGTTTAGAATGTAAAAAAAAACATCCAAATTCTTTAACATGGAAAAACAATTTGATAAACCACTATGTATCTAAAACTGACAGGCTGGGAAAGGAAAGCATTAATCAGAAAATCAGTCAAGAGGCCCATAGTAACTCTGGAGGAGCTACAGAGTTGTCAATCTGTGTAAAGACAGAGATTGTCTTTACACAGATTGATCACTAATGACTTTCTGATGGCCCTGATCAGAAAGTCATTAGAAGAAATAACAATGACATTTGTTACTGTTATTTCAAATGTTATAACAAATTACATGTAGGTTAAGACACATGTCTTGTGGCTTGACCTACATGTCAAGACACAGATGTGTAGGTGTGTGTCTTGAATATTTTGGAAAGTTCTAAGTGGCAGGTTATTTGAAAACTTCTCCAGAATGCGTTGTTTGAATCAGGTGTGCAAAAGCAGAGGAGCATATAAAACATTCAGAACTAAAAAGTGCTCTCATCTGATGAAACCAAGATAAGACTTTTAGTCCTGCAAGCAAAATGTCATATGGCGGCATCATATTTAGTACATCGTCTTCACAGTGACACATGGTGGAGGCAGCATCCTGCTAAGGGACACAAAAACATACACAATGACACAATGTGGAAAAGTTCAAAGTGCACTATGAACAGAATCCTTCTGTTCAAACAGGTTTGTATTCAAAGTGATTAACCTTTGTGGCCATTAATTTTTTAATCCACTACTCCCTGTGGCTGTTCCAGTGATGGTTCATCTGAGGATCCAACACTTTTCATAAAACTCCGGAGGCTTTGTCACATTTTCAGGCCCTCAACCTGAGACACATTTGTTTAGACCTCAGGATACGCTAACATCAGTGCCGAAAATAAAGTGCACCTCCAAGCAGGAACAACAACAGCATGAAACACAGTGCCTGTCGCAACGTTGCCTCTGCTCAAATTAAATTCCCTTAAGTGACCCCATGAAAAGAGCAATCCCTCCTGTCCTGACTGACAGGAACGCGGTGTATTAAATGAGCTGGTCGTTCAGATTAGATGATCTATCGGCGAGTAGACATACAGCTGGAAAAGCAGTGAGTAAGAGAGGCTCCCGAAGCCATCAAACACTCGTCTGCTCCACCGTGTGTTCCCACAGGAGTTCACAGAGGAAATGATGCTCCCAGTCAGTGTGGCCATCACTGCGGACAGGAAGATGTGCAACAACAGAGACATGGTTATACAAATGGTAAATGAGACTGGCCATCTGGTTCTCAGAGCTCAGAGCAGGGAGCTCTAACTGGATCCAACTGGATGCGTGTTGATGTTTATGGTTCAGTGAGGATGAAGGTTTGACACAAATCATCATATTTACTACTCAACAAAGGACACCCAGCAGCAGGCTCAATCAAGAGATAGTAGTGTGAGAAATAGTGCAGGTAATGGGTGTTATTATGACAGACTTTTAACTTTCTAAGGGGAAATCTAACCAGTTGTAACCAATCTAACATATATCTATACATATATATAGATATATGTATGTCTGTGTGTCATCATAATATTACAAGAGTTCACACAGCAAATAAAAGCAAAATTCATATGAGGAGAAGCATAAACTATATGCACAGAAAGCCAAATGTAGTTTACTCTGACAGACACATACACTCTTAATTAAAATTATTGTTTTCTAGAGGCATTATGCAATGAAAAGCCTCACATTATCTAATACAGTGGGTAGAATGGTGGATTCGAAACTCCAAAGATACCTTAACCCTCCATTGATTTTTTTTTTAATTCCTCTTTACTTAATTAAGTGAGCTTCATGTCGTTTTATTTGTCTAACCGTTTGAAATAAACCAGTCAATCATTGATTGCAAAATCAATTTCTGGGTATTTACTGCCCCCTAACGGAAATAACGCGTAATTGAAAAGGAACCGATCCTTTGTTTAAATATTTGCTTTTTTGAGCCACTTAACTTTGATCTAGAAAATCTACAGGTGTTAAATCAAATTAACTACAGATTAGTACTTTCATTAACTTGCCAGTTAGCAAAGAGAGAGATCAGGAAATGAGAACAGGATGCTATGTTGGCACCAACAAGGTAATTCTTGAAATGCTTTTAGTTATAATCTTGACATGCAGTGGCTGGTGTCATGTAGCCTATCCATAAATATCCTAATACAATAAATATCCCAATCTGGACAGATTTATAACACTAAGCCATTTTTAAGCATTTCAAAAGTGAGATTGACACACTCCAGATGTGGTTGCATGCAATGTTACTTTTGATTTTAGATAAAGATTTGTCACGTCATGTCTCTAAGTGGATATTCTGAATGTAGAAAATCTTAGTGGACACATATATGGTGAGCAAAACAACGATTCACCTGATTAAAGTTGTGATTCATTCACACCCGAGGTCCTTTCTTTTGAATAAATGCAGCAGCAGATGTTGAAAGTGTTCCTGTGTGCAGGAGGCTTTGCATAACGATCCAGTCGATGTGTGTCCGGTGTCGAAGGAACAAGCTCGTGAGCAGATTAAAAAACATAAAACTTCCATTTTTAGTATGTGGCTTGAAGTGTTGCTCAGGTGAACTTTTCATGTTAATCATTTGCAAGGTAAGTGAGACCAAGTTGCTATTTTGTTATCAACCAATAGAGGCCGCTCTGCATTCAATGTTTGTTTGTTTGTTTATTAGAGCGTTATTGGGAGAGGGAAGGGACACTTCCTTCCACCAGGGGGCAACACTGTGTCACTCTCCTGAACTTTCTTTCGCAGCCTCTGTCCTGGAGGAAGGTGGTGCTATTGTGGACAAGCTGCTTCTGCCACGCGCTTGGCGCTCCTGCAGATGAGCGTGCGTTCTCCAGGCTGTCCTCATGGATCAACGCTGAGAGGCGGCCGAGCCCCTTGGTGACCTCTTTCGCTTTTACTATGTCTGCAGAGGCAGCGGCGATGCTCTGTCGGAGGATCTGAAGACTGGTGCGCGGATGCGTTTTTAAGTGCGCTGCAGCCTGCAGAGAAGAAACACGATCCGGCTGACTGGATGCAAACCACCCAGGATGTTTTAACTGCACTGCCTGTTAACTTTTTGTGTTTTCATTTTTTTTTTTTTTTTTTTTTTTTTTTTTTTTGTTTGTGTTTGTTTTTGACTTCATTTGGATGTCTTTTTGTGGGAGTTTTCGTATTGCTCTGCAGGGAGCGGGCATGGTTTTGCGTACTGGAAGTTTAACCCTGCTCTCCTGAACTCCCCATCTTTTGAGTGTTTTTTTTTTCCTTTTCTTTTTAACCACAAGTTTATAACCTAGTCTGCAGGAGGATTGAGGCACGCAAGAGCAAATGGCCAACGAGCGCAAACCGCGGCTCTGCGTCATGGCAAAGGGGGACAGCGGGTACGGGTTCCACTTGCACGGCGAGAAGGGGAAGAACGGCCAGTATATCCGCAAAGTGGAGCCGGGGTCCCCGGCGGAAGCGTCGGGAATGCGCGCCGGGGACAGGGTGGTCGCGGTGAACGGAGTCAACGTGGAGAGAGAGACGCACCACCAGGCGAGTGCATCTCCACGCGTGGGCATTCGTGTAGAAGGTTGTCACTCGTGTTACGGGATGGGCCATCTCATCAACAGGTCATGCTGACTGAAACAATCAGGACATTCAGGCACCCACTACTCTAATTTTTGCATTTTTTTTAAACAAAGATCGCGTTGACTTGATAGATTTTTAGCCTAAAAAATAAACTTTTCTAAGAACAATCTTTTTTAGACAGCAACAGCCTGCGCAGCACGTCTGCGCCAAGAAAAAGCTGCTGCCACCGTAAATTAGGTTAAAACTGTCTCCAGTTCTGTTTCTCTCCGAGGACTTGGCTCCTGCTCACAGAGAGTCTGGGGGGGTTTCATAATTATCTGTATACAGCCCGTCAGGCTCTCTGTATGACCTTGTTGCAGCAGAGATAAAAACACAAGCTGTTGGTCGCTGGGTTCAGCTCTCGGGAGATCCATCCGCTCCGTCCTCTCATTTCAGTGGGACAGATTAAACTAGTTGGATAATGATGTTTGATGATATTTAAACTGTTGCAGGCCTCCTCTGAGGCAGACCCTCACTCGTTACTACCAAGAGATCAAGATCATTTGAATATGTGTCATTGGAAGATATAAACTCGTCACTGATTGTCCTGCAATTGATCTAATGCTAGGTTTTGGTTTTACAACTATGGTGGCCCATTCTGGACCACCATAGTTGTGCTTTTCACATCTAGAGATGGAATATTTTGGCTATTCTACTTTGAAAATTAGCTCATTTAGCTAAGACAGAGAGCATCTGTGAACATTCATTTCCAAGTCTTGCCACAAATTCTCAGCCTTTGACTGGGCCATTCAAACTGGTAAACAGGCTTTCATCCAAAGCATTCCATTGTATCTCTGGCTGTATGTTTAGGGTTTTTGTCACAACAGAAGGTGCGTCCTGTAGCAGGTTTTTATTCAGGATTGTCTCTTTGTCAACACAAACTTATTTCCCTGTCTGGAGCTGCACAGTATAACAAATCACAATCATCACTTTCAATTTCAGCATGTTTCATATTGCAACACAAAGAACTGCCTGGTTGCAATATTCTCTGGATTATAATATCTCAGATTTTCATGCATTCAAATCTTTGCATGAGAATAGATAGCAATAAATACGGTCATGCATCAGCAAATACTGATGCAATGCAGCCTTCACCCTCTCCCTGCTGAATTAAAGCATACCCACAGCATGATGCATCCATCACCTTGTTTCATGGGGATGGTTTGTTGTTTGGTCATGTGCTGTGCAGCCAGATTCTATTAGCTAGCTTGGCGAATCGCAAAGAAAACTGCTTTCTCTGGATTTAGGGTCTCAGGGTAATGCAGGCCACACTTTAAACATTTTATTTGTGGAAAAAAAAGCAAACAGAATTTTTCTTAAACTTCACATTTTTGTTGGTCTGTCACAAAAAAAGTCTTAGTAAAATGAAAATGCATTAAGGCTTGTGGTTTGTGGTTTTATTGTGGCAAAATGTGATTCGGCAACTTTGAGCACTTTTGCAAATCGCTGTTATCGTTTCGAAGCCAAACCTGCCGCAATGTCACCTGGATAATGAGAATGATGAGTCTCTAAATTGAATGATGACGACTTGTCATGTCCCTCCTCCAGGTGGTACAGCGGATCAAGGCAGTAGAAAATGAGACCAGGTTACTGGTCGTTGATCAGGAGACATACGAAAGCCTCCGCAGCCTGCATCTGACGGCCACAGAGGAGATGGCTGTTCTTGGGTCAGAGGCTCTCCCCGCTGCTTCCTCCCCTCCAGCATCCACCTCTCCGACACCCACCTCCACTCCTTCCTCCCCCATCAAGAAGCGTCAGAACGGCTCTGTGTCCAAGCAGGGCAGCCAGGTGCAGAAGCCCACCAGGAGGTCACCTTCGAAGGCTGCGAAGAAGGTAAATATGAATTAAAGCCATCGTCTTATTTTACAGTGAGAAACAGAACCCATGTGCCAACAGATTGCCAGTGGTGAGTCATGTCTCCTCTGAGATTCTCTTCTCCCTGGACTTGTTTTGAGGCTGTCATGCCAGTTTAAGATTGGATTTGTAGATGTCGTGCAGGTTCTGCGGGCTCAAATTCTCGAGTGCTGATGATGGAGTTACAAAGCTTAGCTGGAAGCAAGCCAGACATTGTTTCAAAAGTATGAGTGACCATGAAATGTCAGAAGGTGACACCAGCAAGAAGGCATAAAGTCTGGGTTGTTAAAAGCTTGAAGAAAAAAAGCTTAGCTCTCCCGATGTGGGCTGGAAGTTTTTTTTTTTTTTTTTTTTTAGTTTTGGTTAAAGGAAAATGTAAAGACTACAGCGGGCTGTAATGTGTCTGTGTTCATTTTCACTAGAATTTTATTAATTTGTTTTCATATTTCCACCCATGATGACAGTCGTCGTCGCGTCGTGTCCACAAGACTGAGATTTGGTTTCATAGAGCGTCTATCAGAAATAAAACGCAGCTCCCCTTCTGCTTTCTGCATTTACGCCACATGTGTTTCTACTTAGCTTTGCCCTGTTGATATGCTTCCAGCACTCAGGCCCTTACTCTGTATGGGGTTTGACAGCTTCACTGCTTTGCATTTTAAATATCTCTGCGACTTCGTCTAGTTCTTGCCCTCTTGTCTTGGAAAGCGTGCAGTGCTAAGATGTTCTAACCCACCAAGGTCTGCAAAAAAATTGTTTCTTTCTCCATGTCATTACTCAAAGGGAAAAGCTGGAAGGACACACTCAGTAGGCTGAACCAAAAATGAATTAGCCTTTTAAAATGAAATGCATACGTTAACAGGGACTTCTATTTCCTGTTGCACCTTAAAGCAAGCTGTTCCCTTATATATATATTAAGACTTAGGATTGACACACCGCACAAATAGAGCGTTTAATGTCTTCTGCAGAAGTCTTTTCGGGTTGTGATGGGGGGAAAAAAGATTTGGCTTAAAGTCCAGCAAGAAAAAGCAAAGGGAAAACAGACTGGTCAACAAAATGGAGAGGAAAACCCAGGATTTAAAAAAAAAAACAGACATGCAGTGATATGATGAATCAATCAAGTTTATTTGTACGGCACTTAACTATGGCAACAAAGCAGTTCAAAGTTAACCATACAGTCATCAATCTACATCCCCCACTTGACAGATCTCCCCTGTTTTAGCTGATTTGTCACATTTAAATGTTTCAGATCTTCCAATCAGATATCACAGAGGTAATCTATTATAGTCCAATAAAAAATGTTAAATTGTGGAACACGTTGACCAGCATACTTCTCTAAATTTGCAAAAATATTGTAAAAAAAAAACAACAACAAAAAAAAACAATGACAATAGAAACAGTCTGGACATAGGATTAGTGCTCTGATGTCACACATGCTCAAAGACACATTGAGTAGAGAGCCTTACAATGCATTGTTTTTTACTCCAATGTAATTATCTTGCATGGAAATATTTTTGAAAAATTCACACTTTTTTTAAATAAAAGTAGAGATTCACGGATCCTCTACTTCCTTTCTCTCAGCAGACCCACCTACAGTAGAATGTTATAAAAGAAAAAAAAAGAACAATGTTTTTCTCACTCAAAATGAACAGTTTTTTTCCCCCTAAATCTTCTGGTGTTAAACAGCTCAACTCCAATATATTATACATCTATTTTAAGGCTTTTCAATCTGTGATTGCTGATACAAACTGATTGTTTCTATGGATTATTAGTATTTGACACTATATGCTATGTGGTTTGGTCCATTTTATTTTCCTCTTGCTAAGCAACAGGACAGCCAAACTGCTGATAGTAGCACATTTCTCCTCATATTTTACTTTTTAAGAGAGGTTGAAGGGGGACAACCAGGCAGCCTGAGATTTAAAAGCATTATGAAACAGGACAGAGGAAATCTGAGACTCAAAGCAGCCAGAATAAAACTTGCTGGCACTTTAAGTTCACCCACTGCCAGTGGGGCAGGGCATTAGGAAAACAAGGTTTTGGATATTCACCACAGACGTTTGGCTCAACTGCAGTTGATTGTAGCTGCAGTAAACAGTGTAGGTTCCACTACCTGTGACTATCTCTGAAACCCCAGCTGTTTGGATGAAAAGCCTGAGGTCAGGACGGTCTGAAATTGTCAGACTTCAGATGTTAACAACACCGAGGGAGTGATGGCTCTGAAATAAAGTGTTTTAGTTTTCTTTATAGCAAAGCCTATAAAAGTGGTTTTGTTTTCTTCTTGATCTCTCAACACGAACGTCTGAAATCAATCACAGCACTTACTGCTGCATCCACTCACGGGCGGAGGAAACACAGCTAGACACAAACTTTTCTGCATCCGTGTTTTCCTGCACATCTGCCCTATAAACATCCCAGTGAAAGTTTCAGAGTGGAGTGTTTGTGCATATGTTCTCCAGGTTACATGACACTGCCTGTGGTTTCTTCAGTTTTATGGCCAGTCATCGCCAAGGTTTCCTTCCTATGGCATTCCTCTCCATGTTTACTGCCTCTCGACTTGTGATGCAGGAAATAGCTTTCTGCTCAAATATGTTTTGCTTCTCTTTTTAATCCAGGATACATGATATGTGTGTTTTCTTCATCTTTTATCTGATCTCTGTTTTTCTAATGTCACTGAAAGAGAGTAAAAATACTCATGATGGAGATTATCCATGTTGTCATCCAAAAGACAAGATCCCGGAAGGACCGGGGGACAGAAAGGGAAATCACAGTTTACTTTGGATTTCTTTATTCTCTCAATCTCCAGTCCACTTATTAATAAATAAACTAGTCATTAATTGATTGGTAGCAGCATAATAATAAATTTGCCTGGCACAAATATTGGCTTTTTCCATTATCTCAGCTTGTCGACACACTTTAAGCTGCGGTCACGCTAAATGTGAGGAAATGTAGGAGATTTTGTGAAACATCAAGCCCTGTCAAGTGTGTGTGAGTGTTATTAATAGTGTAATTAGACAAATGTTGATGTAACCAAGGCCCAGTGACATATCACCATGTCTTTTCTCATTTAAATGGTTATTTCCTTTTTGATATGGCCTTCCAATGCCACTGAAGAAAGTTCAGTGGTTACCATGATGACTGAATACAGGTCAGGTGGCAGACATTGCTTATCAGGGAGTTGAGTTCCCTGTTGCATTGCCTGATGCAAACAAAACTGCAGTGGGATTTAACAATAAATCGTTTTAAATTTGTCATTATCAGCCGATGTGATGACATTCTGCCTCTTTCCTTGCTTGTATTTGCCTGTGCATACTTATAGATGTAACTGTGTATGCGTCTGTTTTGGTGAAATGCAGAAGCCAGTGATGCTGAAAGTGCAGTAGCGTCACGCGTCAGAGTTTGAACGTATCATTTTACAAAGACACACACCTGAGAGCTCAATGCTGGCCTATTTTCTCCGCGTTTCTCTCTCACACACACAAACACAGACTCCTACAAACTCTAAGGTGTGTTGCTGCGTTGTGTCATTTCCTTTTGGATAAAGTGTTAGGTGTCACTTTCTCATTAGAGCCTATATTTTAACCTGCAGATAGGCACAAATAAACACGCACACAACTACCTTTGCACGGGTCCAAATGTAACGACTACATGTTTTTATCAAGCGCCAACTTTGTGTCCCCTTCTTCAGCTTTTTGAAACATGTGTTTGTGTTGGCTCATTGCGTGCAAGTGATAAAACTGTGGAAAACCAAATACGTTTTGCTAAAACAAACACAATGTTACTGTGCACTATTCAGCTCTGGGAAGGCAGGGTTAATTTTGGCAAAAGAGTAAGAAAAAAAATAAACGTCACCTTACGCTCTTTGTATTTGCAGACTTTATTCCTATTACATTTTTCAAAAGAATATAAATAGCGATTTTAATTTTCAAATATTTAGAGGGCTTTCCACATTCAGATCACGATCTGACACACTGTGTGATTGTAGCAACCCTGAAAAAGACTGGACTGTTCGTAATTTACTTTGAATTAGAACAGAATGTTACAAATTACACCAGAGGAATACTTTAAAATTTAAAAAGTTATTTAAAACTATTATGAATCCAAGATTTTGTTCCTTTTCCAGAGAATATTTAAAAAATAAATTCATCAAACTACCTACTACATTCTTGATGCCCAACAAACAACAAGTGGTTTTACCTATGAAATCATTAGTTTGGTCAGCAATGTGCATCTGTCAACTTGTGTCCTGTCTCCATTCTAATTGCTCTGTGAGTGGCAGTAGTTTCTGCTTCTTGTTTTACTGCTTTGGATTTAAGCTCAGATTTCTGTTGTAGACCCACTGCTCTATCAGCTGAAAGTAAAGCACTGCCTCTGGTGTGTTCGGTCGTATTCGCTCTAATGTCAAAAACAAAAATACAGCAGACTCTTAACTTGCACATTATCAGAATGATAAGCCATTTTATTGAAAGGTCATAATCATATAAAATGAAAATTGAATGGGAAAAAAATTGTATCAGATCACAAAACAACAAAAGGTTGCTCAGTGTTATGTTTCTCAGTGAATTGTGGAAAAGGGCTCCTTTACAAGTAGATTTTGTTTCTTGTGCTCTCCTCTCCCGACCTCCTCCGGACTTGAATTTCCACCCTCTGCTGGTGACAAGACGTTTTCCAAACACAAATTTAGCTCAAATGTTTGCTGTTCTCTCTGTTGCTGCTTCGTTCACAAGCAAAAAAATATAAGGAGAATTGAAGGCTTTGTTTTCCGCCGATGCACACATATATTTAAAAGCAGAAAATTCAACATATTTCTCCTTTTATTTACTATTGACAGCTCAATACAAAAACTAGATTTCCATGAGCTTTAGTCTTTTGCGATTTGGCAAAAACAAGAGAGATATATAAAAAAATGAGCAACTCCAGATGATTCATTTTTCTGCCAATATACATGTGAACTGTACTTTGTATCTTCATAAATGTAGCTA